TTATGTACAAGTCAGTGTTTTTATCCTCCCAGACAAGTCTGGTACCAATTAACCGACCCCGGAGGGATGGAAGGCTTGGTTGGCCCGGGCGACTCACGACCCAGGATTTGATCCCCGGACCGCTCGCGTGGTAAGCGTGCCACTTGCCACTACACCACTTCCGCCCCTGTCTGCTTCGTCCTACCCAAAGTACCAGAAATAATACCTGGACCCAAAATAGAAGGCACGGTCGGGGTAGAGTCGACACGTGAGGATTCTGAGAAAGAAGCAGAAAATATGTAATTGAGAGAAGATGACATAGGCTCCTATTCCAATGGCCCGGGTATGAAAGCTGTCCTTTCCCTTCCATTTATTCCCTTGTCATCTCTACGTCCCTCTCTATAACATCATTTCAAGCCCCAAAACAATAGTTGGATATGGCTCAGGTATTACTTCTGGTACGTCGTGGGGTGGGCAAAATTGAAGGGGCAGTCGGGGTATGTTTGATACGTGAGGATTCTGAGAGAGCAGAATGGATCAGTTCTCACTGCAACCTTAACGCAAATTATAAGAAAAAAGCAAAGCAAATAGAGCGAATCACACAGCAAGGCAAGAGGAGTAAACTGAATTACTCGCGATAAGAAGGGATCTGCAGCAATTTGTCCAAACGACTACGAATTCATTGGGCCTAGTAGTGCGTTTTCAGGGGTGGTATGAGGTATTCATAGGAAAGCCAAATCGTTCAGTTTTAGTAGGACCTTCGGCCCATCACTGTACCAAGAAATCCACCAGATCTCCAAAACTAGCACCACGGTGGAGAGGGAAGACGGAGACAAAGGATAGTAAGATGTGGCACATATTTTCCTCCCACACCAATTTGGGTTATTTTGAAGGTAATTTTCAGCTCTGTGTGAGGAAGAGCTCGAGAATGTTGAGATAATTGTTGGAGCGACAACATTAAGGATAAGGATAAAGCATTTGCCGTTGATCAATCCCTTTTTGGGATGCGGCACGCATTCTACTTCCATTTGTACATTCGTAGTGGCGTTTGAATGCGATGTGGCCTATACAATGACTTGCGGGGGCCAGCCGATGTACAAGTCAGTGTTTTTATCCTCCCAGACAAGTCTGGTACCAATTAACCGACCCCGGAGGGATGGAAGGCTTGGTTGGCCCGGGCGACTCACGACCCAGGATTTGATCCCCGGACCGCTCGCGTGGTAAGCGTGCCACTTGCCACTACACCACTTCCGCCCCACCCCACTTCCCACAAGATTATACAGGAAAAAACGCCCAGAACCAAAGGAATGAGGCCCCTTCTTTGCCCGTTGATTTCCGCATCGATGTGCCTCTCATCAGTGCTGTCCTCTTCAACGCTAACGCACTTACGTCAAGCGTACATAGGCGCGAGCGGCGCGGTACGGTCCTACTAAGCCGCTGGGGAGACACTCTTCGCTGGAAAGCGCGCATCGTTGCGCACTCCTAGAGAGCCCGCCTGCATTCGCCTAGGTACAGTAGCGGTCAAAAGTGTTCGCCGAAACGATTTTCGGTGCATTATTTTTTCTCGCTTGAGCAACGTCCTCCAAAGATTGATATACTATGTTTTCTAGTGTTTTTATATCCTCAAGTCTTGAAGAATCAGGATATTCAAAGAAAAATTTTCGAGGTCACCATTGATTTTTTCTGGCAAAAAAAGAGAAGCACGAAAAACCGTTTCGGCGAACACTTTTGACCGCTACTGTATGTCTTCCCTTCTTCAACCTCCGACCCCGATCTTACACCTTTAAAGGACGAATTCACGCTGGAAAGGCAACCCATTTCAAATTAAGTTAGGGATGGTGAGTGGTACACGAAAGAAGGAAAAAACCATGAGAAACGGCCCAGAACCCGAGAAATGGGACCCCTTCCTTGCCCGTTTGTGCCCTCTTCAACACTACGCTCTCTCTGCTATCTAATCACTCGCCACGTATAGACCTGCGGCGAGTGATTAGATAGTCGGTGGGCGTACCCCGCCAACCGCGCCAAGAGTGAGCCATGCTAGGTCGCCGAGGTCAAATCTTTCGGTGCCAATTGCGCGTCAGTCCGCACCCTCAGGTCTGCCGGTCCCTCAGCCTGACTACAATGTTTACTATAATGCACCACTGGTTCTTCTTAGTGTAATTTATTCTTCCTGACAAATGCAAAGTTATCGGCTCAAATTTCCTACCCATAAATCGTAACAAACCCTCAGGAGGGAACATGATTACAAAGAAGTTTGAATTTATCTCGGACTTGTTTCACATTTTCCAAATTGTCTTCTGCTGCTCACCTCCGAGTCATAATCTGTTAATCACCTTCTCAATTCCTTCTCCACTTTAGCCTTCAAGGATCGCACTTAAAGGAATCTTCCACGGAAAAAGCTCCGCCTTCCATTACCACAGAAAAACGATACCTTAGGAACATAAGCGTTAGTTTCGATAATACTAATCCTACACACAAGACAAAATGATCACTCTTTCCGTGGAAGATTCCTTTAAGGTATCGTTTTCTGTGGTAATGAGGGCGGAGCTTTTTCCGTGGAAGATTCCTTTAAATATTTGTTACTACCACCGAGATCTGCACTGATGGAATCCTCTTTAAGGAATCCTATGCGTTTTCTAATCAACGGGTGTTCGTTAATGAGCAGAAGGAGCTTTGGCACTACAGCACCGTACAGGAAATGCTAGGCATGACCACACTGGACCACAATGCAGTGAGTTCTCGAAGAAGTCGAGATATGGTTGATGCCAAATATATCTTCATTTAGAATCGCTGTGAAAAAGGTTACTTGACGGGTAAATCGCAATTCCGGTTTGCATTTAACCTGCCTTACGACCTCGCCACCTCATTCAGTTGTCCAGCAAGCCCAGTTGTGGTAAAGTACTCAATAACTGTGAGTTTCTATATTTTAACTATAGACGGTTTCTAACTATAGACTAGCTATAGACTAACTGTAGACAGTTGTTTTTCCCATCTCTTTGCCTCTTTCTTCATTTTTTCCTCTCCTCCCCCTTCATTTTGTAAGCACTCCTTATACAGGAGAACTCCTTTCTAGAACGGTTAGAACGATAACAATCCTGAAGCACCAGTTACACATGTGAAGAGAACCAGTTTTTATTTGATAAGGTGTTACTGTGTTTAATGCGTCAACGACCGGATTTGCGGGAACGGAGACCTGAAGGAGAACTGTTTTAGAAGTGCAAAATGAATGTTTAAAAAGAAAGTCTGCAGAACAAATCTGTACAGTGATCGCTGTAGTAGTAAACCTTGTGACAAACAACTCGGCGAACACGAAAACAAGGTAGAAACTTTGTAATGGAGGTGACGTAATTGAACTGCGTGGAATACATCACGATCACGTTACCGTTGTCGGTGTTCAGCCGGAAGCTCCGGAAGCTATATAACATTGCACCGGAAACAGGGAGAGCCTGGCTGGTCAGTAGACCACGTCTGACACGTTATTGTCGTAGAAAGTGAAAAATGGGGAAAATCTCAGCCTCAGTGAATATTGGCTCTTGTCACTTCTTGAGTTCTTATGCGTTTGCTTTTCGCTTAGTGGATTGCGCAAGCTGGATCTGAGAATCTCCCAATAGAAGAGGAGACTATGGCACTCATTTTATAGCTCTGACATTAACCCTTTGGCAACAATGGCACCCACCTGTGGGAGTCACTCAATCCGCCGCGTGGGACAGCGGCAGGTGCTACCTTAAAATTTTCTTTAAATTTTTGCACATTTTCAACATCCCACAAATCATTAGGAAGCTCCATAATATCTATTTCAGAAAGATTTACAGAAAGATTTAGTGAGTTAGTCTATAAGAAATTTCAGAATGTGGTTCACCTCCCCTGCATACAAATTGGGGTTTTTATGATTAAGCTGAAGACCAATCATTGACCGAAGTTCCTCGTCTCTTTATAGCCTTTTGGCACAACGTATGATCTATTCAGAATTTCACATTAATGGTACACATAAAACTTTGAAGTTCATCTCATTCCTCTTGAAATCCTAGTTTACTACAAATTCCCTAATTCCCGTCCCTTGCAATATAGTAAGAAAGTCGTAAAACTGCAGCTATACCTGATGCATTTCTATAGTGACAATGTCGAAGAAAACCTGCTTTCAGGGACAATTTTGCCCTATGCTTACAAAGAGGATCTTTCAGGTCATAGAGCGCCTTTCCAAAATGATTTCGTGCTTTTTGTAGAGACTCATGAGAGGAAGATAAACTATGGACCATTTTTCCTGAACACTTCTGGAAATCTCAAAACAGTGGTGAAGAAATGACTGCAGTAACTGACCAATCATCCGTCTGCTGATCAAAATTTGCTTCCATTGTTGAAACCCAAATTGTCGTCAAACGATAATACCGTGAAACAAGCGCTGTACCAATTGGCAGCAATTTCAGAGCGCCGAACCATAAATAGCGAAAATTAGACATCACGGAGGATCGAACTTTGGACCATCTCTTCTCTACTATTCTGACCTTCCCAGAAGCGTTCAGGAAAAACGGACCATGATTTTGTGTTCCTCGCATGAGTCTCTATAAAAATAAGACAACTACCTGTTGGAATAGCGCACTCAGGTTCTTGAAGAGCCTGTCCCATTCGTTAAGCCGCGAGCTTTCCGCGCACTGAATAGAGCGTGCCCCCCTCACCGCCCGTTACCTCGTGCAAACTTCCTCACAGAAGACTCCACTATTCGCTTTCAGCCTGTAACTGCTGAGTAGTCTCTCATTATTTCACTATGGGGTCGTACCCTTTCGACATCGTACGAAGAACATGGTGCAAAAACGTGCAACTTAACTGAGAGTAACCGTCCTGTTTCCCGTATTTTCAAAAACAACTCTTTCAATCTGTGATGTTCCTATTTGTCCGAATCGGAAAACTCGTGCAACTGCTTCTCACTCACAATATAGAAACAGTTAAATATTCTTAGTAGAAACACAGCCTTACCAATCGATAAAACTGGCTGGCCAGACTACCAAGCCTGAGGCGTTGGATTTCGCTGAAGACTTCGACTCAGTTGGAACGGGAGGACGTTCAGCGAGTACCCGAACTCGTGCGCCCTCCTGCCACCCTCTGCATCTCAATCTACTGAAGTGAAGGCGATATAGAGGTGGGGGTTGTGAAGGTGTAGGGGGTGATGCGCAGTCATAACAAGCCCTTTAAAGGCTGGTCAAGCAGAGGTCTTCGCAACAGGGTCAACCCTATCGTTGTTACTTTTTGGAAATTTTTTACGCTACCCTCCCCTCCTTCATTGGTCTTTGATACACGACCCCCCCTCGCCTCTTGTATAACATATCACATCATGGTAGTACGGCAGTGTTCTTCATCACCACATTTATTCTAGTCGCTATAAAAAAAGTTTTTCATACCTTTGCGCTCTGACAAGGAACGCAATTTGCTCACGTGGAGCCGGCTTCGGACGGGGAGCTGTGATAAGTTTGGTAGGAGTTTTTCCATTTTTATAATTACAATTTCACGTAGTTCGGAAGATTCAGGTGGATTTTGGATCGACGTGGCTCCTTCCTTCCTAACGAGTGCTCATTTGTTCTCAAACACTTCGGAATGAATAAGTTATTAGGCAAAAAATAAAATTGAAACACGATTTTTACACTCCTCTTTCTAGGGCTATAACTTCCTTCATATTCGAGCTTCTGCGCCGAAGTGATTTGATTTGGAAAATTCAAATTATTCTCTCTCCAACCAGGTAAAAATTCTTCGAAAGTTAATTTAATAAAAATTTAGTACGTTGTTACTTTTTTCTGTGCAAGTGCGACTTTTTTGACCTTTAAACGATCATAACTTCCTTCATAGTCATTCATTTGGGAAGCTGAACACGGTATGAAAAACTACAGGATCCAAGCTTTCTTACGAGCCCCGAAACGTTCTTGAAATGTCAGCAGTTCAAAAATTTTCACTTTTTTGAGGGGTATTCTTCAAGCCATTTTCCGAAAACTCGGTTTTCTTAGGTTTCACTGCCCGTAACTTCTTGGAAGACCAATTTCATGTTTAATTTAGGATGTGCTAGAAAGCTTCGAGCATGCGCTTGCACTACATCCCTTGCCTTGGTGCGCGCCACGCCTCGGGCGCCCGCTCGATTCGCTGACTCATTTGAAAGCTCATTTAGAGGGAAGCGTGGTTTATAGATGCTCTAGTATCAGTCATCTTGCGCAAACGTAACGTGCTGGCTATTATCCATGTTTTCACAGGCAATAGTTTCATATGTGGTTTCGTGGCTTTATCCATGTCATGGTGCGAGCTTTTTTCAGACGATGCTGCATGTCTTCCTCTTCATGACTGCGTCTATGCGGGGAGAAGGCTTTGCATAATTGCACTAATATACACTACATAATATACACTTTCTGTGCTGCGTTATAACTCGCCGGCTTCGTCACTCACTAATCCTCGGTAATGATCAAGTAGGGATACACCAAGAATCCGCCACTGGCGCAACCGACGATAGTAAAAGACGCCCCTCCTCTCACTAGCATTCACCACTGATTTGTGAGTACGACCCCCTCCGTTTTTACTCTAACAACGTCGGGGTTGCCGAGCTGCTTTGCAAAGTGTCCTTTGTATGGAAACATAAAATATATGCAGAATGACAAATTGCATCGCAGAACTCCCCAAGCCACGGATATTACCTTGCGAATTGTCAAGCGATGTTGTTTTTCCAAATCTCGCTCAGCAGGACTTGCGCGGCACGTGACGTCTATAGGTGGAACACAACTGAACAACAAACCGACTGGCAGAGTTTAGAAAACCTGCAGTGCTGAAGCGAATCAAAATGGGATGATGAAGATCTGCACTAAAATCCTTTTTTATGTTCTTTTATGTTCTTTGTACGTTGAGTCCTATGTTATGTTCTTTTTTTCAACAGCTTTTTCTTGTGTGCAATTGGAATTCATTACTCAACCACTGGCTCAAAATTAGCAAAGAGATTTGTTTGCTGAGGGCCTTGCAACGTTTATTGAAGTTATGCGTAATAATAGTACAGATTTTCGATTCTGCACAATTCAGGTACATATATTTAGCATTAACGATAATACTGACTCGCATCAACATGAACACGCTGATAGTCTTGCTGCGAGCTTACCAACAAATGGAAAGCAAGTCCCCAATCTGCTAAAATCTCGAAGTCTCAAAAGTTGTCGTCTCACGAAATTTAGATTCGCTAAGAATTTCTTTCCACTAACTAAGTGAGTGTACTTCACGTCTGATTTAGTTCGTACAAAAAGCTTCATTGCTACAGGGGCCGAAGTATTTTCATTGAATGTGCTTTGGAACAGGCAGTTCTCTCCTCGGTTGGCAAACTCCAAGCTATCATCACCGTCACGAACAGGTCAATTCCTAATTTGTGAAGCAACAAGTTCAATAGCTGATATTTTATTTCTAGGTGGAAGCAATCAATTAAGTACGTCCACATGAGCATTCTTAGAAAAATCGAAGCTGTCGGCTACTTCAAAGATGATCAATCAATAACAGACACAAAGACAGTTTTAATAAACACAACCGGTACGCTTCTTGACTGAAAAATTGAAATGTTGTTGAATGAGGGTTCGTTGTAGTGCACTTCTTCCTTGGTTATTCAGCCTCGAATAACAGGACCTCTTCTATCAAGAGTGATAACTAGTAATAAATTATGGTCAGTGAAGTGAAGATTGAACCAACAACCCCAGTTAAAAGTGGTGGTGTAACAGCGATTGATAATGGTGGCGTGGAAAGAACGTGTCCAGACGCGTTCTTTTGACGCAACCGTATCGATGAAGCAACCAAATTATCTACCCTCTATTTCGGAAAACGAGAAGAGCGTCGAGTGCAGACCACACACCACAAGTGACGACGGCCAAGAAAAAGTAGCTTTTTTCTTGGCCGTCGTCACTTGTGGTGTGTGGTCTGCACTCGACGCTCTTCTCGTGTTTCGAAACAGTATACCTATCGGAATCTTATCCGCTACGTTCTATCTCACGTTGAGGGGGAGCGTGAGGTATTTCGTCCCTTAACTTCACATTAATTGCCATCAGACCGCTTGGTCAAACCCAAGTGCAATTGTCGCCCAGTTTCCAGCAGCGGCAACGGCAAATATGCTACGATCGTGGATTATTCTATCCCACACAGAGCAGATTCTTCAGCCTGACCTCATCCGGGTTTATTAGTTTGAGAATTGGAAGAACGTGGCAGTTGTGTCAGCGAGACGATGTTCTCGATTTCTTCAATATGCACGTATGTATCCTTTGACCATTATAGGTGTAGGACTGCCATCGTCGAAACACAAGATCGCCGTTGGGGAGACGTACATATTCACTTCCAGTTTCAATGTACCGGCGCTTCCGCCAAGTATGAATGTGCCTGGGTTGCTGGAGACTTCTTATATGGTTAATATTGCCGTTGGTCGAGCACACAATTACGTGATTGCCTCGCTAAGGGTAAGTGCTATGCGTTGATCTATTTCGGCAGCTAAATAATATACATTTGTAATAGGTTCCGATCACTATTGTCACTAATATTGTTGATATAGATCCAGTAGTTCCTACTCAGCGCGGAGGTTTGTTAGCTTTTCGTACAAATTAAAAAATGATTTATTTGCAGAAAAACGTACAAGTAGGAAGGGTAAACAACGTTATACATGTAATGAGTGTATATAGTAGAACTGTACAACGTAATGTAGTGTATGCATATAATGGAAGCGATGAATAACAGGGATCCTGATTTTAAATCATAACAATTCAACAACAGTGTAAAAAGCGATAAAAAGGAATCGATTGCAGATTTACTGATCGATTTAACACCACCAACTTGGAAGAAGGCGGCGCCAGCAATCGACCTCCTCGCGTAGAAAGCGATCGTCTAACTCTACACACATCGTATGGTTTGTATATACAATGAAATGCATAAATCTTGATATCATAGTCTAGGAATATCGATCGATCAAAAAGAAATTCGTCAAATCACCACGTTATGGCCGTTTGTAACGGTCATACGTCGTTACTCGTTGTTCGAGATGGTATATGGCATAGCGTATGATTTTAGTTTTTTTTTTACATCGAATTCATTCGCACGAAGGAAGCTAAAACTAGTAAAGGGCAGATGTCCGAGGAATCACTCTGTAAGCTCATTTGTTGCATGCAAGTAGCTCAGCGTTAGTTTAAGAGAGATGGATGGGATGGAGAATTTGGTCTGAAATCTAATTTGACCCCTTTACGATACATAGAATCACAGCGACAGCAACATTTCCTTGCTCCTGTGAGTGGTCTAGGGAGCGGTCCTAAGTGTTGTATGCAGCGGGTACATGACAATGAAAATAATTGAAGTCGCAGTTACATACTATCGTGAAGAAAATTATTCTGACAATATTAAGGGAAGGTTAGATAAATGTTTCAACCACGTGTAAAACATATTCATAAAGAAACACTAAGACAAAAATGTAGACAAACTCGGTCACGACGTATTTATAGTAATGGACACCGTCATATATACAGCTTCCTTCATGGCTGAGATTCGGTTGAGGAGTATCACGTGAAGTAGATGGATTGACGATTATCTTGACGGTACTGTCGCCCAAATCATTTGCTCCACAATGTTGACCATTTGAGCTGAAAACAAGTACAACTAGCATGCAGTGCATTTCATTAGTATACGTCCACCTCACTTCTCACAAAAATGTTCCTTGAAGAACTGGCAAATTTAGCAGCACACAAGCATCGGATTGACTGCATGAAGAAACAAGGAGAAATGTGCTCTCAAACACACAAGTCTCGTAGGAATTTTTCGAAATATTTTTTGTTATTTTCGACTGTTCATAAAACATATATGTTCGACCAAAGTATGTGATACGAATCAAAATAAAGTTGCCTGTTTTTAGCAGGGAATAGGTTCTTAATAAATCGAAATCAACACGTTTTGTCGCGATGAAGCCTGGTCTCCGTCTCCTTGTAGAATAGAAGGCCTATATTTGGGCTCTCCACGATGCCAGACTTAGCAATTGAGAGACTGCCAAGCAATTCGGCGGGACTCACTGCGTAGTTTGCTTCACTTCTGCGATTTCGAAGAGCGACCGGAGGAAAGGAAAGAGATTCAAGTCCTCGGTGTCAAATTTAATACATAGGGTATGCAACAGGTTGGGCAGAGCCAGAATCAAGTTTTCAGCTGCATATTTCGATGGGATCACTGAATCCTCCTATGGCGCGCGCACGAGTGCGGAACCAAGCTAACAATATATAGCGTTCCATAGAAGTTTATAAAAAATTTACTGTAATTCTGCACAGATTTCACATTTTGGGAAGGACGGAGCTTCAAATTGCGGACGAACCTAATGTTTTGGCCACAGATTGCTATTGTTTGCAATGCCAACAAAGCACACGCTGCATCACTATGAGATGAAACCAAGTCTCGCCAGAAAAATAGCAGTATGTGCTAACGTACCATTTTGGGTGACTTTCTTTTGACGCATCCCAATGTTGGAATGCAGCATTGAGAGCATCTGTCGAGGAGGTTTTGAATTTCTAACAATCATAATGTGTTGATGCGCAATTTTCGCATTCTCGACGGAGATGAGCCACGCACATCTTTCGCTGTGTTCAAGCAAGTGGCTACAGTACATGCACCAAATTTTCATTACTTGTTTCAATCACCAACTTCAAAATACTGAATTTGTGCCTCAAAAGCAGTCAAGACGTAAGTTGTCTGCTCTTAATTACTTCTGTTTTCTTCTGGATTCGAAACAGGATTGCTAACTTCAAATTACACGCTTGACGCGGTCTCCAAGATTTTTATCAGATATGGTGTTCTGAAGCAATCCCAACGGAAATATTGCTGAAACTTGGCAGTATTGCTTCCTGTTACGCTGCAGATCATACGAGACTTCTAATACTATAATTTTTGTGTTATATCTAGCAATTCCTCCGTTGTGATCTAAAAATTGAAGTTGGCTACATGCTTTCTGATGTAATATATCTGACGACAGTTAGTCAAGACAGTTTTCAAAACAGTGTCTAAACTTCTTAAATGAATCCAAATTGCAGTCGCACTTGATAATTGGAACGATCATAGCCTAACTCATTAATTCATCGTGTCGTCGTCTTCGACACTCTAGTTAGGATTCATCTAGAGAACAGGACGAAAAACAAAAAATAACAAAATTTTGGGACAAAACATGTAGGCATCCAATAAAAATTGTTTTAAAAGTGCCCGTAATCGTGGGAGGCCGTAAATTTACCGGCAGCAGTATCTTCACCTAAAGGCAATCAAGAAACGAGTTTTTCCTATACATATTAAGGCGAGCCCAGCTGTACAAAAAAGAAGTAACATCTCAGAGTTTATACTTTGAGACAAGCCTTTAGCATAATTTCAACACAAAAACAGTACTATCAAGCTCTTCTTCGGAGATAAACTTCGTAATGCGCTAAAGCCCGGTAATCGCGTCACAGCATGATTTCAACAAGCGCCTGGAATTACATAATTGAAATTGTATCAATGTAGGACCCATGCTCGTCCGAACAATTTCAAAAACTGAAAGAAAAGTGGTCCTGAATAGTTCACAATATAAGGTGCAAAACACTGATGCAAAAATTTTTGTGATGGATCAATATTCAAAATCATCATTCTCATAAAATGAGAATGCATCGTGCTGCCGAAAATAGCTACCAGCGTAAGGGTTGTTACCGGGTCTGAATGTGTCACAGCATGCTTTTCATAACAAGAAACTATCTAGAACTTTCCTCATTGGACGATCCCTTCTTTAGATAAACCGCGTGAGTGGTGTTCCAGTTTGTATGCATGTCCGTATTCACGTATGGATGTCTGTCTGTCCGTCCGCAAAATGAAGTGAGTGATAAGGCAGCTAATGGATAAACAAACAGGCCGCTAACAAATCTGGGTAGCTCGCAGGACTTGCGCTATCAATGTTTTGCAATGGCATGATTGTGATAACACCCCAACGGCTATAAACACCTACGTAGTCATTGGTCATTCCACATGGTGAAGCAGGGCAGCTGGGAAGCAATGGAGGGAGGAGAGGAGGATAAGGAGTTAGGGAGGGAGACGTTTTCCAGCAAAGCTAAGAAACAAGATGTCTTTATAGCTTATGTCATGGTTGTTATGATGCCCTCGATAATGTAAAGCATACATACTATAAGCCAAGACATAAAATGAGCATAGTAAACATCGCTTGACCTTGCGCATGGGTGCCTGTTCGCTCCCTTGTTTTAGTTTTTTTCCATACATTGGCACAGTACGCAGCTCACTGATTCTCACCAAGTATTATATGATTCATCGCATATCAGCGGTACGAATTAAGGTTGTTGATGCTTAGGAAAGTAGTTGCAAGGAAAGAGTAGCATAGGGTGGCTAATTTTACAGAGCTCGATCGTCCATCATAGTGCGCTTACCTCGTACGCATAAATATATGTGTTTCTATTTGGAAAGCACGATCCTCCGCAGATACTTAAGTTAAAGCTAAGAGATCAAAGTGTAAGCCTGTAGGCTTTTCCTGGACCGAAAGCTATGTTTACAGCCTTCTCGAACGCGGGTGAATGACTTAGCTCACTGATTTCAGGCCGCCCGCGAGCCTGGTACTTTAAACCCCCGACGCGCATCGTCGACGCCTGTGGACACCCGAACTGCCGTTCCGCCGTACGATGCTCTACTCTATCCGGTGCTCCGGAGCCACGGGACCTGCGTCGATATTCACCCGTCGTCTACCGGCCTGCCGTCAGCTCGACTCCACTGCGTCCTAATGCCTACACTGGTGACTGAATAAATTACTTGTGCTATTCTGCTCTTTACTATACGAAGAATACAGACACAAATGCATCTCGAGCAAGTCCAGAGATATATGAGTGAATATAGCTTTGTAGACGGTCAATTCATCAGCGAAAGCAGCATAATTGTCGCCCTTTGTTTCACAGACACCTAGTTCAAACAATGAAGTCCGTTTGAGTTTGATTAACTGTGGAACCTACCAGATGTTTCAGTTCCTTTGTCTTTCGGTTGCTTCTTTTCAACCATCATATTAGTTGTGATTGCTCCTCTTCGCAGAGTCTGTTCCCACAGTCGCATCGCCGCTCCGGAATCAACGTCTTCAATCTTCCCATCAATCATCCGTCGTCCATCTGAAGGAATTCATGGTTATTGCATGCAATGATATTTTTGCTTTGTCATTGCTTTCCTGTTCATGCTGAACGATCACTGTTAATTTAAATCAGGATTAAATAATCCACTAGCTTTGATTATGTGCACAGAAACTTCTACCTTTAACCAAACTAGCATGGTTACGGCAGAATACGTCTGTTACATTGCGCCTTTCATTTCCCATGTGAGCCTACATTTCGCGTTCACTATATCTTCGGAATGGCGTCGATATGCCTCCCTGTGTCTAGTAAAAAAGACAGTGCAAAAGCCGCAGCGTGTTTAGTTGTAGAATACATAACTGTGCAATGTATCACTCTGCGAGGCTGTCGAAAGTTTACGGAACAATTTCTGCTAAGAAGACCGGCCATACTCTCCAAAACAGTGGAAGAACAGTCGCAGCAAAACTCTCCCCTCACCCCTTGACATAGCGGCATTTAGACCGA